GTCACCCCAGCACGTCAAGCGATGCGGCTTTTAGGACCATCCTTCCAGAGGAATGGAAAGCCTGATGGTACAGTCAGTTACCTTGTGATCTCTCTTAATAAAAGCCAGGTTGACTTAAATGCAAATACATAGCTTTAATTACCAAATTCAAAACAGGCAGAGTTGCAGAGCCTGTAGGAACATGTAAGAGAAATGAAAGGAGGTGGAAAGGAAACCTATCTTTGTATCGTACCTAAGTTAGCTCTGAACAGTTCTGCCTGTAGGACGCTGGGTCTTGCCCAGTCCTACACCCTCAGACCGCATTCCCCAAAGCGACACCCTGAAGAGGTGTCTCAGCCCATACCGACATTGAGAACAGTCACACAGATGACCTGGGGTCTCTTCAAGCCTCTCAGGCATTCAACCTTTCCTTCTGCAAAGTGTGGCTTCTCCTAGAAATCCCAACTATCCGTGGCTTTCCTGGCTTCCCAGAGAGCACACGATTATTGCCGTCCGACTAAGCCATTAATGGGTTGGTTAAATCACGGTGAAATAACCTCTCTACGTGCCTGGATGGGAAAGGTTCAAGTCCTACAGCCAAGATTTTTTCCCCCTGCACGCAACCCTCGCTCTAGATATGCACTCTGTGTACATCATTTGGTAACTGTACTTTTATATGATGAGATAACCAGGATTAACGCATGCAGCTCCCCACCGTCCAGACGGGATGGCAGCCGATCATCGTGAGCTAACACCAACCCTGGGAGCCCGACCTCCCACGTCTGCCTTTCAGCAGTCGGTGGTACAGAGACAGGCAGACCGCCAAAGATGAGACCCAAATTAATAACCGCATGTGCTGCTCTTCGCGTGATATCCCAGTGGTTTCTAAACAATGGAGACTAAGCTGCCAAAAAGCCTTCTGTTGGAGTAACTTTGTACACGCAAGTGTACAGAGTTAAACCCATCTAAGTGAAGACGCTTCAATAATTATAAGTTTTCTGGGCCAAAACTCTTTAATTTGCCTTATACTCATTGCCTCATCCTATCTCTGAACTTAAAGAAGGATCTATGGCATAGACAACAAAGTAACCTCCACTGTGGAATAAAACTGCCACCGATCTGTAGCAGAAAAAAATATGGGGTTTAAGGACTGTAAAGTTCTTTACCGTCATTTCTCTGAGGTTGAGAAATGCTGATATCGTACAGGAACCCAAGCAGAGACCAGGGAATGGGGGAGGTGGGAAGAAGAATAAATATGGCAAAGGGCAAACCACACATTCGTGGCAACTATGATAAACTATAGCGGATGAACAGACAATAATTAACATCTTACAGCACCCTCTTCGGAGTCTGACTCATGGGGGGCAGTTATTGGATTAAACCAAAAACATATCCCCTCTCGTCTCTGTAAACTGGCTGATCGTTTCTCTCCAATATTCTCTAATACCTCCATCGTGCATAACAAGATTACACCCGAATATAAGATTTGCCAGAGATCCCTATTTACTTAGCTGGCTGCCGAGTCAGCAGCATAATCCCGACCGCAAATGCGCCCGGCGACTTGTACTCCTAAAATCCTTGTTGCCATGTAGAACTGCTGCTACTTCAGAAATCAAGCATAAAATCATTACGTTTGGCATGGGTGGGCTCAGAATGTATTAACATATTTCAGCCACTTAGCAAGTTCATTCATTCAGTGAGCAAATAACAGAAGCTGGTAGCTGCACATTTCAAAACCAAGACTAATTTTATACTAAACTCAAACATCTTTCTCAAGCTATTTATATTCTGTAGAACAGCTTTAGCATTATCTAGCAATTCTAAGTTTAACAGATAGTGACAGCTGCTGTCTAAGCAAGAAAATAAAACAATGCTGTCAAGTCAATTAATTTTTAATGTGATGAATTATTATTACATTCAGACTAAACCATTTTAAATGGCAGACAGGATCAGCACTCAGGGAGAGATTATATTGGTAAGGGATGCATTTAAAAATTAGTCCTACTTATATCAACTGTATTACTGCAGTATTTTAACTTCTTTCAGATTCAAAGATCTAATTTCTTTCAGATTGTTAATGCAGTACCACCACTCATCAGCGATGCAAAAGCAAATGAGATCTGTCTCATTCACCTTGGATAAGACAGATACAGGCACTGAAAAGTTTTTCTTTTCTAGCTGATCTTGGTAGTACAAGGTATTTGCTCTGCAGCATCCGTAACCTCGTGCTCGCACGAGAACAGAAAAGCAGTTTTCACTGGTGTGAAACAAAGTGAACATAATAATTACAGCTGATATTAACATCTTATATGCAGGTCATTAGGATGATGACCTAAGATTTAAAGAGCTACCTAAGATGACTTCCGTGGATTCCCAACTAAAATCAATGTATTTGTGCAGAGATTCTATACAAAGAAAATTAACCTCACAAACCCAAGAAAGCATCTTGAGTTCGCTGGAATCACTACTGTTTGCAGGATCAAGACTCCTGGCTTGTAGGAAACAAAGACTAAATCTAAGAAGTAATCCCAGCTTTGCTTCTGTAACTAGCTTGGATTTCATGAGATGGATCAATACAAAAAATTCCCAAAATAAACACATCGCATTTAATGACTGAATTTTTGGTGTAGAGAAAATACTGTACTGCGATGATGTGGGTTTCTTTTTTAAGTTATGAGTCATGATGAGCAGATGCCCATTTGCTGCTGCTGCTGTCTTGTTTTTTTAAATCACTAGGTAGCAACTTCTTCTATCAGAAGTATTTGAGCTGGTAGACCACTGGTTTCATATCTCTTTTTAAAAGCTCAGAATATTCACATTCCTCCAAAACAGCCCATCCAAAGGAGAGCCTTTACACTCCTTCTTGCTATTTCCTTAACTTGCTTTTTTGGTAGGCAACACAAAACATACAAACCTTTGAGGATTCACTTATCTTGTGTGGACGACAAATCCTGGTTTGCCTGGTTCCCTCCATGACAGGCTGACCCGCAGTACTTCTGCAACAAAAGCAAAGAAAGACGTTAGCAGCCTACCAGTCCTTTCAGACTGCTAAAACCCGATACTGTGCTGCACAAATAACACAATTAAGAAGATCTGCAGTTTGAAAATATTTGAGTTTAAAAAAAACCCACAACTTTTTCTGCTCCCTGATGTTTTCCTGCGCTATTAACTCTTGGTTGTGTCAACGAGTCGGGTTTAAGCTCGGGCATAATCAAAGACTAGCGCGTGTATGACTGATGCAAGTTATTTACTTACTGCCACAGCTGCCAGAGGTAAAATCATTTCCTTTTCATTGCCAAGACCTCGCTTCGCACCCAGGGCCCTCACGGGGCAGGTGTGACCCGAGCG